TGACAAGAAATTGTTTGATAGCCATTTAGTTGGGGGAGTGGCCTTGATTTTGTCGTTTTATGTGATTTCGCTACCTCATAATTTTATTAATGTAACCGTTGATACTTTTATGTAGTCAATGAAGACCTTTTCTTTTTCAAAATAAGGTTGATAAAGTTAATCAGTTGTATTGTTTTATGCATTGTTGTTTCTCCTTGTTTACGTTTGGTTGGTTATTTTTCGATGTTGACCAGATGAGAGTACAAATGATCTTTGTACTAGCTGGGTCTGGGGATGAAATTTCTTAGTTATTTAGATTTTGAAGTGTTGCTTTATTCTGTTAAATCAGGATTTTGATTAGCAGTCTTATGAAGTGCGTGAGTCATTCCCATCTATTATTAATTGCTGCCTTGGAAGGGTTTGAATCAGTCTGTTTATTATGTAGTAAATGGGAATCTATCAGTCTAATATTTATTGCCATATTCTAGTGCATACAGGACCTATTTCATTTTCTTTTCATTTATTTTTTAATTTACTGTGAGTTTTGTAGCTTTGTTAGTTGAAAATGGAAAATTCCTCCTTTCTGCAAAGAGGACAAGGAGAACAACTTACACCGAGTATGTTATTTCCATGGATGCTGACAACATCTCTAGATCAAGTAACACCTATATCGGAAAGCTGAGGTGAGTTTACTGCTTGCAAATTGCAACTGTTTAACATCCTTAGATTACTCTGCCTCTGACTTTATTAAAGAAATCCTTTTGTGTGTTTGTCCTCAAAAAAAAACTTTTAGTATGATTTAAAATTTAGACTGGGAGAGTGCATTCTAATTCTCCGGAGTATAACGGCAGAATTATTGATTTTGCTATTGATTTCAGTTGGTGAGAGATGCAAGTATGTTGACCTTGATATATTTTAAGTACAAAGTTAAAAAAGTATTGCAAGTTTGTAACTGTTATTGCCGAATAGAAGATCATACTGGTTAAGTTTTTTTTTTTTAAATATGTAATTAAGCCAAACAGTTTAGGTTCTTATTCCATCATTAATATTCCACTTATGCGATGAAAGTTTATCCTATTTTGCTTTTCAAGGCTTCAAGCCTATTTTCTTTTATGTTCTATTTTATATCCTTTTCTTCCCACTTAGGATATTTTCTTTGGCTTTCTTACACCAGATCAAATTTTCTTGGTACAAAATTCATTATATATGATACACAGCCTCCATACTCTTCTGCCCATATATGCCCTCCTGGGACTGGGAAAACGAGCCGCAGATTTTATTCCAAAAAGGTTTCGCCTAAGGTTCCATCTGGGAGTTACAACATAGCTCAGGTAACTTATGAACTAAATGTGCTTGGGACTCGAGGCCCGAGAAAGATGCACTGCGTTATGCATTCAATACCAGCTTCAGCGCTTGATGTGGGTGGCAGTGTTCCTGGCCAACCAGAGCTTCTTCCCCGTTCCTTGGAGGACTCATTTCGGAGCATCTCGTTTTCGAAGTCTCTGGATCGTTCTATTGAGTTCAGCAGTGCACGGTTTTCTGAGATTGGGGAGTCCTGTAACGAGGATGATGATGGCAAGATGAGACCCTTGGTTCTGAAAAACAAGCCTCCAAGATGGCATGAACAATTACAATGTTGGTGCCTTAATTTCCGTGGACGAGTTACAGTTGCTTCTGTTAAGAACTTTCAGTTGATTGCTGCCACCCAACCAGCTGCTGGTGCACCTACACCATCTCAACCAGCTCCACCGGAACATGATAAGATCATTCTTCAGTTTGGCAAGGTTGGGAAAGATATGTTCACCATGGATTATCGGTACCCTTTATCTGCATTCCAAGCTTTTGCAATATGCTTGAGCAGCTTTGACACCAAATTGGCTTGTGAATAAGATAAATCATTATGCAGAAAGGTTTAGACTTTCAAGTGAACTAATCAAACAGTGATTATGGTATCTTTACCTGTTTTTCTTTTTTTTTTTTTACTATTTTCATTACCAGTGTCATGGGAATAGGCAATTGTTGTTACTCTGCTTCAGTATGACTCAATTGTAACCGTAGTGCCTCTTTGATGTAATAGGATTTTAGAGCATTTTTAACATACAATGTTGCTATGTTTCTTTCTCAGTTGATTCTACCAACAAACTTTCATTTAACAGATTTTAGGTTCTGCTGGCGCCTACATTGTCTGGTGCATGTTTGGTTTATTGAGAGGTACATATAATCTGTCACATGGTGTTATGTGCTTGTATCTTATATCGTGGGCAATGAATAGATTGATCTTAAGAATTGCCACGGAATCACCAAAATAATGGTTCTAAAGGAGAATTATGAACTGAAGTTGGGCATGGGTTGTCTGAATGTTGGACCCATGTCAAACAGTGACATTTCACTTGTTTTTATTTATTTATATATTTTTATATATATATTTTTTTTATTTTTGGAAGATATTGATCATGTTTAAAAATGTTTTCAACAAATTATTGTAAACATAAGTGACCGTCTCAGCAGGTTTGATCACTATGGCTACTATAGGACTAAAGGAAGAATTAATTTTTATTGAGAATAAAGTATTTTTGAATTCTTATAATCTTTTAATTTCATTAATAGGAAATAGATAAAAGAAATGTTGCGTGGAAGAGTAATGCTAGAGTGTGGAAGTCAACTAGGCATGTAGGCAAATCAATACAAGCTCTGTCAACATAATAGCTATGAGTTGGGGACATGACCAAACGATTATTAGCCACCGATTAAAAAGAAACCATAAATTATATTAACGTTTTGTCACATAGCATTGAATATATATACTGAAAAATCTAAACGGTGATATTATAGAGAACAACCACAAATAAAAACCTATCGCATTTTTTTAGTTCAAAAGTTTGTCCGTTAGATTATAAGAGGGATAGTATAGAAAAACCGATGACCCATAGCAGTGTAGTTTTACTCTCCACTGTGGAAGCAAGGAGAAGTTGAGAAGGAGAACTATATTTAAAAATATATATAAAAAAAAAAAAAAAAAAGGGGAGCACATGACAAAATCTTAATCATTCTCGTAATCTAACGGTAAAATTTTTGTTAATTGGACACTCCAGTTTTTAACTGGTCCCCTAAAAGAAATCTTGGTAGCACTTAAGCTTGCAGCCTCCACCTATCGTAAGCCTTCAACATCTAAAATAGGAAGTAATGCAATTTTATGGAGTTAATCATGTTGCTTAGGATTCATTTGGGTACGATAAATTTTTACATATTTAAAAATCATAAATTTTGAAAATTATGATTCTTAATAGTTAAGAAAATCTATACGAGAATGTTTTTGAATATTATTTCCTCTATTATCTATTATAAGAAAAAAGAACAGTTTTTTTTATAATAATTTAATGTAGATAACTAATTTCATTTGATTATGTATTTATTTTTGTAAGATGTTTATAAGTTATCATCATGTAATTTTTAGGTTAAATTATTATTTTATTTAATTAATTCAAATTTAGTTCCTTTATCATTAAAATATTTCATATGATTTCTTATTTTTTTTAAAATGTAATATTATCATTTTTGTCTAATTCTAACTAGTGATAGTAAATACACATGGCACGGTTAGAAAACGACATGTACTTGCTACATGTATTAAGAGCTAACACTATTAATCTTAATTAAACGAAAATATAACATTGTATTGTTGTTAAAGATTAAGAGATCAAATTAATTTTTTTAATAATAAAAGATTAAATTAAATTAATTAAATAAAAAGTGAAACCACAACTATAGTTCAATCAATTCTTTTTTTTACTTTGTTTGTTACTTGTAGCATAAATGTTATTTTGAGTGATTCATCATGGCTAAATTAATTAATAGATTTTGTATTACGCCAATTTATTTCATTAATCTTTAAATTAGAAATAATTTTAAATTATTAAAATTTTTCGACTCTAAAACTTTGAATTACTAAACAGTCAAATAATATACTCTTAGAGAAAGGACGAAAGAAATATGTGAAGTCAAAATAGAAGATAATTCTCTTTGAATTTTAAAGTTTTTTTTTTTTAATTTCTCTTTAGATTTTTTAAAAAAATGAACTTATGAAATAAGTCTTAAAAAAAATTTAATATATCTCCCCTTAATTGGTCAACTTTGACCTCAACTAAAAATAATTCCTAAACAATATAAATTCATTAGGATTCCTAAATTCTTAAAATTTTACAAAAATTTAAAAACAAATCACATCATGAATTTAATTAATAAAATCAACATACATAAATAAAATTTATAGTGTCAAACATTGTACATACAAAATTCTAAAAAAAATGATAAAAATCATATAAAAAAATTTAAAAACTGCCTACAAATCTAAATCGAATAGGAAAAAGTGATTTGACTCATTTCAAATTTAGTATTATATTAAAATTGAATCAAACTAAATCATATTTTACTTCTAAATTTAATTTCTTTTCAAAAATTGAACAAAACACCCAAATACAACTATCAATCCCCACTTTTACTCGGGGCATATAAATCAATAGATAGAAATAAATCCTACTACTTGTAATATTTTTTTATTGAGTAATAATATGTATGTATAATAATTCATATAATTTGTTGCATAATATTTTTTTTATATTTATTATTATTCATATTAATAAATGTAATAAATAATGATATGAAAAAAGCAGTCAAAAATACGTTATATAAGTGTCATTTCCCTTTCATATCTCTTCCTAATTTTATCACACTCTTTTACTATTTTTTTATTTTTATTCTGTTTTGATCACTGAATGAGTCTCTATCTCTATATATATTGTACAATATATTTTTATTTTTAGATTTATTCCTGGAATATCCACGGTCGATAGTAATAACTAATCTCCTCATTACGTTGGAGGCACATCAAAATATGAGATAACTGACTTCAAGATTTAACGCGACTAGGCATCATTCGAACAATATCTTCTTTGATACAGAATTTGAAGTACCAAGAAAATTACCTATTTCATGCCTTTAAAAACAAATAACATCTACCTTATAGACATGAATAATTAACTATTTTCAATTTCCATTACAATACTTTTTGTTGCTTCAATAGGCGTCAAGCAAGAGAGAAATTTGTGAATTCGCCATTTCTCATTGCCACTGCTCTACGCTTCCTTTCATCCTCAATATCCCAACTTCACGTTTTCTTCGTTTGGGTGCGTTCCTGAACCTGAATTTAACGTCAAAGGTACTTCCTTTCTCGGTTTTTCTATTGCTTCCTAGCATGTTGCTCCTGCATTTTATCTCTCAAGTTTTAGTTTGTGGTGCTTAGAACATAATTGTATGTGGGTGTTAGGATATTCACATGTTAAGTTTGATTTTTGTTTGTGAAGTTACTAGCTTTTCTGAGTGAGTTTGAAATTGAAAGAGATCAAAGTCATGTGATTGAAAGTTGTAACCTTTTGCATTTGGATTTTCTTTCACGACCGGTATTTGATTGAGTTGTTTTCTTAAAGGGATAATTAGATCATTTTAAGGCTTCAACTTTTGAGCTTTTATTGACTCTTTAGACACAGTTACTTAGGATGCAAAATTGAAGCAAGGAAGGTCAATGCAGCTGTTTTTTTTATGGGTTTCATGTGATCACTGTGGTTCTTGTCAACTGTTTTTGAGGGTCTTTGAAGGGAATTTTTCTTAAGGGTTGTGATTTGTGACAATGTCCTCTTCTGATAATCATGGCCCTTTTTCACCAATTTCCTCCTTTGGCCGCTCCATGTCTCGTCTTCGGAAGGAAAAGGTTCATTCTTTGGAATCAAATCACAAATCCACCACCCGGGATTTGGAGCTTGAATCATTCCAAAAGCAGGTTACTGTTCGATTTGAGGACCTGTCCAGGGTTAGTGATGATGAGTTGCTCTCAGTTGATTGGATGCGGAAGCTCCTTGATGCATTTATCTGCTGCCATGAGGAATTCAGAGCCATTCTGTTGAACAATAAAGAGCAGGTCTCAAATTCACCTCTGGATAGATCAATCTCCGAATTCTTTGAGAGGTTGGTAAAGGCACTTGACATTTGTAACGCAAGCAGCGACGGGATTGAGAAGATTCGCGTGTGGCTAAAGCATTTGGACATTGTCTTGTGTGCCTTGAGTTCTAATCAGAGAGCACTGAGTGAAGGCCAAGTCTTGAGGGCCAGAAAGGCACTGATGGATTTAGCACTGACAATGCTTGATGAGAAAGATTGTAAGTCAGTTTTTCCTCAGCGTAACAGATCTTTTGGCCGCCATAACACCAGCAAGGATCATCGTCGTCACTTTGCAAAGCATTCTCGATCACATTCATGGAGTGTATCACGACCCTGGTCTGCTGCCAAGCAACTTCACTCCATTGCAAACAACTTGGCTCCCCCTCGTGAGAGTGAAATTGTTGCAACAAGTGGGCTTGCAATTCCTATTTATACTATGAATTCTGTTCTCTTGTTTGTTTTGTGGACTCTTGTTGCAGCTATTCCCTGTCAGGATAGAGGTCTCAACATTCAGTTGTCAGTTCCAAAGCAATTCTCATGGAGCACCCCGGTCACTTTGCTTCATGAACGGATCAAGAAGCGAGAGCGACGAAGCTCCAATGGCTTGCTGAAGGAAATAAATGAAGTTGAAAGTTGTGTCCGGCATGTGACTGACTTGGTAGATACGGTTCAGTTTCCATTGACAGATGAGCAGAAAGTGGAAGTTGAGCAGAAGGTGAAGGAGTTAAGTCTTGTTTTTGGAGCCTTAAGAGATGGATTGAATCCATTGGAACGCCAAGTGAGGGAGGTGTTCCATAAGATTATGAGTTGCCGAGCTGAGGGGCTTTGATTACCTAGGCTAGGTACGTTACTTATATATTCATGCAGTGCAATAGCATCATTGATCATCAAATGTACAAATTTGTGGATCATGTACATTTTACTTCTTACCACCATTTTGGAAGGAGGAAGAGTCACTACATCTACCTCTCTTGCAATGCATTTTATTTATGTTAATACTTGTGCAAAAATAATGATGTTCTGATTACTTGTATATTTAAGGTTTCTTTGAATCTTTGCTCCTTCACACAAACACCCCAAATGCTTTCTATGGACAGCAGTGTGAGTGTGAGAAATTGTTTATGTGGGAATTCTTCAAACACAAAGCAAATTTCTGAGCCTTTTAGTTTGGATTACGTTTGAATTGGTCTTTCAAATTTGTTTTGAGTCAAGTCCCTTTATTTTAAAATTAAGCAAATTTGTTCCATTCATTGATTTTCTTCTACCTAAAATTCTTAAATTCTCATTTTCTACTCGATCTTAATAAATTGAATTAATAAAATATTTTAAACCTTTTACGTAAACTTTACCAGCCAAAATATCAAAAAAGCTTAAATATGTTTGAGGTCTTGTAAATACAGTGATTTCTATTTATAGTTCTTGCAAATTATTTTCAGTTTTTGATCCTCATAACGTTCGGCATGACTTAAGGAAAAATGTTTTATGTCCACATAAGTACAGTAATTTTTTGTTTTGTTTAGTACATGTAAAATATAGCGATTTTTATTGTCTCTAAGTATAGCAGATTTTGATTCTACTTAGTGATGACAAACAAACGTTTCAACTTGCAATAACATCAAAAGACCAATAAGTGATGAACATTGAAAGAATTAAATCTAAAAAGTAACAGACTAAAACAAAAAATACAACATTTGTAGGAATGCAAAAACATATTTAATCTTATAAATTCACTCAAAATAAAAATTCCTTTTTGAGCCGTAATTTTATATTCTATAAAGTTCTTTCTCTAAATATTTGAATAAAAATTAAAAATTAAAAATTTTAAATTTGAAGAACCAAATTTATAGTAGAAATAAAAAACTAAGACCGGAAAAAGTAAATGTTTTTTTTATTCAAGAATATACTTTTTTTTTGGCACAAAGTTGTGTATGACCTAGTATAAACCTTTTCCTATTTAGTGTTTTTGATGTTGAACAGCGACTTTATGTATTTTATTCCATCAAGAAATTTGGTGGACCTGACGATTGTTAGCCAGAAGAAAATCCAACATTTAAAATAAAAGCATGTTTTTTTTTTTGTTTTTTTTTTTTTAAACTATTTTGGTTGCTGCTATTAGCAAGTCAAGCAAGAAAACATTAGGTGGAGGAGAATTTTGCTTTCTCTGTTGGATGATGATGAATTGTTGAAAACTGAAGCAAGAGGGGGTAATAATTTATCCTCTTTGGCTTTTTTGAATTTTTGGAACGTGTAAAATAATTGCATATGAATAATGTGTATAGAGAAAAAGAGGAGCGCAAATTAAGGCAGCTGATAGAATAAAATGTAATAAAGTGAGCGTAAATTGAGATGAAAAATAAGCATCATAGTTAGGCCGTGGACAACGGCAAAACAGAGACTGGACCACAAAGGCAAAAAATCAGAGTGTAAAGTGTATTACGGAGAGTTAATTTTGACTTTGAGCACAAAATTCTTTGAATTCCAATTGTCTGTGTACAACATTTTCCCTAAGCTCCTAATCCTACAGCACTATAACTTGTAATTTGTAAAGCACTTTTCAACTTTTAACCGATATCGTACACACGTGCTTTTTGTTGTGCATGCCAATGCAACAAATAATTGCATTGGCATCTAATGATTGCTCTGGTCTCAATGCAGTTTTGTATTCTGAATAATACTAACTAAAGAGCTCTGGGAAAGACCACATTATGAACTTGACAAAAATGTCACACTCCAAGAATTCAATGTGAGCAGCTCGTCCAATAAGTGTGTTGAAGTTCCTCCTTCCGTACGATGAGGTTTCGAAGTTGATGTCACAACGCATGACCACACGATGGTCAGAGTTGGTTCTGATTTGGTCCAAGCAATTATTCAACATCTTCAAAAACACTTTCCCTTGTTTAGAGAAGTCCAAAGTAGCTGCTGGACACAGTTCTATTCTGGCAGAATGATATGGAACATAACCATCCTGACACGTAATAATGTGCATAAAATATTATGATAAAAGCTTTAGAAATAAAAGAAAAACAAGGCTATATATATGTTTATTTTATAGATTTATAGATGTAACCCTTTTTATTCATTAAGGTTATACAGAAGATTTAAGCAAACAGCTTAATAAATTTAAGAAAACCTATTTCCCAAGGTCATTTTGCATCCAACTATACAACTTGTGAATAACATCTGACGACGCTTAAAAACAAACACATACCCTTTTCATGAATCAACAAAAATGTTCAGATAAAAGAATACTTTTAAGAAAATCAGATAAAATTGCCAACCAAGAATGTTCTCATTATTAGTATGAATTCAATAAATGTAATCTTACTACCTTCTACATTTCCTTCGCTCATTATGTTTCTCTTCTAGATATTGTGAAGTAATGGGAGGAAGGAAAGTTCAGTTAATGTAGGTCTTACATGCAATGCAAATTAGTTGTGTTATAAGCCTATAAAGGAAGTTACCTGAGGTGAGGATAAAAGAATCACATTCTTGAAGTTTGCCAGTGTCTTCTTCTGTAGTACAACATAACGAAAAGTATTATACTTAGACAACCAAAAACTCATAAAAATAGCACTTATATTCCTATGGCTGAATGCTGAATTGAACAGAAAACTTCGACATGACAACCCTTCTACAGCCTTCTCTACTAATTACCTCCAAATCCAAACCCCAAAACCCGCCTAATGTTTTGAGACTAGGGACGAGAGAGAAAAGAAGGGGAGTTAGGGGAAGGACCAGATATAAGGGTTAGATAATATGCATTCAACAGTAATACCTTCGAAAGATTGTAGATGAATGTGTTCTCAAGATCATGCTCATCTGTGAAAGTTAGTTGATGGATACATTGTGTGCCTTTGATCTTCTTCAAGAGCCACAATCCTGAATTGAATATAGAGTTCGAACTATACATATAACCCAAATGCGGACCAGATATAGAAACATATGTACACAAGTATCTTAGATATGGCTCCATGATGCTTTCTGAAATAAAAATAAACGAAGGTTCATTACTTTCCTTATTTTAAATTTTGACAAATATTATCCTTCGTTCCTTCAAAACTCTGTAAATACCTGCCAAAGCAGCTCTGATTATGAGATTCCCAATAGAATGACCAACAAAGCTAAGCTTGATATCTTTTAAGTTTCCAGCTCTTGAAGCTTTATCCATCTTCCTTTTCAGGAAAGAGATCACTTCCTGAGCAAGCCGTAATCCCATTTCTCTGAAGTCGCCAGATGTTTTTTCTTCATTTGTCTCTGACATAAGAACCTGTACTTTGGGGTCTATTAAAAGCCATTGGTTCCGAATAAGCCTTAAATCTAAATGATGTCCCTGTTTGTTTGAGTCACAAAGGGTGTACTTAGTCAGATGATCCAGTCAAAACAAGTACAAAATTTCAAACATTACAAGGAATTTCATGAACTTCCGTGTGAGTAGTAAGTATTAACTAATTTAAAGGCAAACAGAATATCAAAATGTATAAGGCTAGAGTAAGTAAAAGACATGATCATCAAAGCAAATAACAATAACTAGAATAAAAAAGGAAGTTGTATTGCACATCTCCACACTTCTCTTTGAAGGCCAGATCTAAATTACCTAATACCTATTACTCATGAATTTTAAAAACTAGGGATTGCTTGATTTAATATAAACTTGAATCTAAACAAACAAACAAATCAATGTTTAACATTATTTTCAGGGAGGTATGATACAGTTTTCAAATTAAAAAAGTAATTTTTTAACTCACAAAATTAAAGGCAACCAAAAAAAAAAAAAGCTGAAAGAAATTAAGGATCCAAGAATGTGAAGCATGCCTGAAACCCGTGAACGAAAACAACTACTCTCAAAACGTGTTCATTTTGTTGTGGGCTATTCCCAGGCAACTTGTTTATGTCTCTAGATCCATTTTCGAGGATATGTCTAGCTTTCTCTTCCAAAGGAAGGAAGTATGACTTCACACTGCCAAAACGGTACATGTTCTCCAATCGTTCTACAATAATAATAGGAACCCGCAATGGATCTCCAAATATATACATGTCTTGAAGTGACCGATTGTTGATCTGCATGGAATTCGTATGACAAAAATACAAATCAAATCAGCAGGCAAAACAAAAAGTTAGAATTATAAAAATTCCATATATAAGCAACTACTTACCCTCATTTGTGCTATACCGCGCCTATGAAGTTCGGCTCGCACTGTGGCAGTCTGAACAGGCTGAAAAGGAAAAGAAAGAGATAACATATTTGAAGAATTCGTTAAGCCAATTCATATGAAGACAATATAATGATTAAGTTCAAATTCAGCAGATAATTTATGAAGTGGGTTTTATATAGTGTATAATGGATTATTACATCATCAGTAAATCTCCTTGTACTTGTTGATCTTGCTCTTAAGTTTCGGTACAATGATGTCGCCTCAACCCCATTACTAATGTACTGGTGAGGCATATCAACCTTGGAGTACACCATCCATATTGACCATTCAGTTCTTCTATCATTAGCCCATGAGTTATGGAGAAATTCCAATATCTTTGTCCTATTTTCCCTGACGAAGTGATGAGAATAAAAAGGAAGAGAAAAACTATGTCACTGACTAGAAGGAATGCTTACTACCATGCTCAAAGATATTTCACTGAGTGCATCTTTTCTCATAAGATACATAACAGCCTTCTGATGCCTTAAAAGTTTTACAGGTAGATGCTAACAATGCATGTTTAGGATAACTAAGCTTGTAGATCAAGCTCCTGCATCCTATAGTATGAAAAAATGAAGACAGAAAGCAACCTTTTCTAGATAGCATAATGATCATAAATGGATACAGACAGTATAGCATAAATTTATTGTAAATTGGGCTATAACGACCTTTAGAGTTGCTAAACTCGTACTTACTCGAATGTGTAATTGCTACAAAAATAAGTTTGAGTTTACCTATGGAATTTCAGAAATGTATTCCAGAGATGTAACAGCTGATTCCCAATAGACTGGAAGGAGTTTAACAAATCATCCCATGAAAAAGGTTGAGACGATTCCTCAGTAAGATGATTGATATATTGAGTAACTTTCTGTTTAAGGTAAGACGAAGTTATTGTGTGAGCATTAAATATGAAACGTCAAAAAAAACATAACAGATAATGAAGCCAGAATTAAGAACCTCCGCACTGATTTGGTCAAACAGTTGAATTGATGCTTCATCAGCAGTAGCTTTTGCATGTGCTGGTGAAGTAGAATTGAACAACTTGGTAACATCTGGCTCAAAAGTAATTCCAGTCAAATCAATAGCATGGTTAATTCCTTTGCTTATTCTTCTCAGGTCATCAAGCAGGATATCATGGGCAATCATCAATGCTTTGATGAGCAGAACCTGGCTTGAAAGAATAAGATACAACAGTAAATAAATATATATCTAGATAAAAGTTGTTTAAGAATCTTATCCAATAATGTAAATTACAATTTTACAAGATTAACTTGAACACTAAAATGAAAAAGCTAGCAGCGTTGCTGTGAAGTATTAAAAGATTTACTACTATAACAGAACACACCTTGTTTGACCTTACGTGGTCTTCACCATATGTTCCTTCAGAAGCCAAAGAATCACTGGTAGCATTAAATTAACATTTTTTCAGAAAAGAATAGCAAGTAACAATCTAACGTAAGTTATGGCAATGCAATATAAGAAACAGACAATAAGTTATGGCAATGCAATGGTTACTAGGGTGTCTATTTGAACCACAATATAAATTCTGACAAACCTTGGTACCTTCAGTTGTGGTGTGTGATAACCAGGTTTTAGTAGACTGATATGAACACTAGTATCAACAAGGACGGCATGGAAAGCATCAAAATGAACAGGACAATACGAGTGCAATCCCAAAAGAGCTTTAGGAGGGATTCTATACTCATGAACTGAAGCTGCACATGCATCCAACGAACTTTGTAACTCAGGCCTGCACAATGACGTAAACAGTTTGAGAGGTGACAACCTCTAATCATCATCAGCATTAACTCCAATAGTCCAACATAACCCCTGCATATAACTTTCACTCGCTTAATACACAGAACAGGAGAAAGCATCATTAACTAACCCAATTTCAGGAGTTGGAGTGTGAAAGAGCTCAAACTTCAAGATAACAGCAGAGGATTTACCCTGTGGATAGAAACAATCATTATTAGCAAAGATATTTGTGACTAGAAAAAGAAAAATGGTAGAACTACTATCTGCACAGTGCACACTAAAAAAATCAGTAAAGCACAACAAATTTTGCTTTTTCATATATAATCAGAAAGGAGAGAAGTACAATTGAGAGGGAGGCCTAAATAGAAATGAAAAGAAAACATCAATCCTAAGTCTCAATAAATGCAACAAAGCTCAACAATTTCTTTGCGCATTATTATGATATAGGAATTTCTTGGGCCTTGTACGAACGGGTTAACCTTTTCGTAACAATGGTATCAGAGTCTTGTTTACGAACCCGGTGTCTCGAGTTCGAACCCGGAGAGGGAAGTTACTCCTGATATTGGGGGAGTTCCGACTTCACCAAGCTGCCAGGTGTCAGCTTCTGAAGAAGGGGCGTTTGATATAGGAATTTCTTGGGCCTTGTACGAACGGGTTAACCTTTTCGTAACATATTACATAGAAGTTCCCTTGAAGAAATGATCCAATGAAGATAATCACATCCAATAATGACAGATAAAGATACACCTTTGAAAATATGTCCATTCCTCTGCAGCCAGATGCACCAGAGAACTGCATGGTTTCCAATTTTAAGATATATGGTTTTGGGGGGAAGTTTTCATTTTTGAAATATATACAGCTTATTGCTTCTGCCATCTACTTTTTGTGTGACAAGAAAAAAAAAGGTAGTATTATCAATCAAAGTATAGGGATGACAATAGATAGGGTTTGGTTAGAGTTTTGTAGTATTTGTATCCATACCCACACTCGAAAAAAAAAATAATCTTATATAGGTACCCAGAAGGTATGAAGATGAAGATTAAAGTTGTTACTCACATGGGTATGAGACCAGATACGAGGTTACTCACGTCTTTTTATATTCAAGTCAATATTTAATTTTAATATAATTTATCAAATCTTATTTTATTTTTTAATGAAATTATTGATCAAAGTTTAATAATTAAGTATATCTAACATTTCACTATCACTATATAAAAAGATGAATTCATTTAATCTATTCTTTGACATAGTGAATATCAAATAAAATTTGAATCATTTTAATTACAAGAAAACCACGTTAATTAGAAGCAATACGTGTATTTATAAAAGAACACAATCTTTTATATAATTTAATAATGTGATTTTTTTTACACAAACGTCTAATAAAATTTGATTATTTGTGTAAAAAAAAATTGATTATTTTATCACATCATTTTCATTCATTCATATGAAATTGCGATATGGTGATTTTTTATTGGATATATATGTAAAAATATTTTTCACTAATAATGCATATAAATTAAATTCTTATTCTTTATTTACCATATCTAAACTAAGATCTTTACCCGTATAATAATTGCTACAACTTATTTTATATATATATATATAGAATTGGTTATAAAAGACTTTGAAATTTGACCTAATTTAGTGACCGAAAATTTCCTAAACCTACCTTCACAAGAGTGAAATTTCCATTAGCCTTGTGAGCAGCCTACATTCATCACTTTGTTGTGTTATTTGTGCAGGTCTAGGAGCAACCAAAATCAAGGATTAGTGGCGGATTGGGACACTTAAACAAGTGTTGGAAAATTTGGACAACAAATTTGTCACTAATTGGTCACTAAAGCGGCCACAAATTTGTTTCTAGTGTAGTTTAGATTTTTGCAATTTCTCTTGTATTTTCAATCAATTTGTAAAGCTTGGAGGGAGTATTAAGAAGCTGGTCAGTTATATCTAACCCTTGGTAGCTCACTCACGTGTAGTACTAGTGGAAGTGGCTTGGAAATTTCATATGTTTCAAGCTTCCACTTAGGGCAAAACGACTAGTTGCTTAATCTTGCTTCCTTTGAGTTGTTTGTTCTTTAAATTGTTTACTTTGCTGCCTTACTTCGACTAGTATTGTGTAGAGTTTATTTTTCACATTAGTTAGTGTAGACCCCTAAAATTGTCCGGGTCGGAAATAAGACTCGAAGACTCTCGAAGACCGAAGGAAAGTCAGTGTCACTGGTTTTGACACAATCAAATATAATGCTATATTAAGGTGTGTTAGCCAAAGATCATGCATGTCTTTGATGTTTAATAAGATCTTTGTCTCTTTTTCTTTTCAGTAGTTCTTTGTTTTAATTTACTATTATTTAGATTTTCATTATGTTGTCCAAAACTATAGAATTTTTACTTCTTTCAAGAATTCTAAAATTATTTACATGATGTCAAAAGAACAGTAAGTGCAGTTATTTTTTATTTTGACAATCTTGTTTTATTGGTGACATGGAAAACTTCAAAATGTCATATGCTTCCTAAAATTTATTTGCCTTGGTTGTGAATTGTGATATGCCTGTTTCTCATATTTTTGGTACTGAACGTTGTTAGTTGATTAAACCAAACAGGACGTCCTCTATTGCCTATGTTGTTACTATATTATAGGTTATATAAAAAATAACACAGAGAGATAGAGAGTAAGAATGACCTCATATCCGCCATAAGATAGATAGAATGAGACCATGATAGACAGAAATACATCCTGCCTTGCATATCTAATCCGGAATGATGGTGTTGAAAAACTGTTGTCTTTATCATCTATCGTCCAAACTCTACATAAATTGTCAGCACCCACTTCAGGAACTGCAACTCAAAGAAAAGATGATTCAAAGATTTTATTCAATCTGAAAATATACCATGCTAAACAGCAAACTAACTCGGCAAAAAAAGCAAATGACAGCATATCAAGCAAGCTAGTGCTAATGTCTCACAAATATAAAAAGGTAGAGCAGTTCAAACTAGTAAGCATAAAAACCTTGAGAATATATTGCAGACAAGGCTATACGAGGTTTAATACAGAAAAATACAATCCCCATTGCATTTGACATTTGTTTTGCACACAAGTGTCGTTGTCAGTGGCTGAAAACTTATCCAAGAAAATTAACAGAATTTAAAGTTATTACGGAAAAATTAAAGTCAACAACAACAACAACTAAAAGCCTTATTACATTGAGCTCAGTTAAATACCAAATTCTCAGTGAATCTGAAACCAAACCAAAGAAAACAGCTGCAATGAAACACTGACACATGAAAACATTAGGAATATATTAATTTGACCTTCATACTGAACAACCCGCGCAGGAATCCCGGGATATGAGTCATCACCGTCCTCCCATCTCATTGTAACCTTGATTCTGTACCATCTGCACAACAATAATAATAAGAACAGCAGAACACAAGCAAAAAAGAAGTTTTTAAATGTACACAAAACAGCCGAATGGCAGAAATCAAAGCTTACCCTTGTTCAAAAAGATCGAGATTGTGAAACCTATGAATGTAAACGGCAACTTCGTGAACAGCATCGAGCAGAGGGAGTTGGCGATTTGGTCTAGCAGAGGCAGTTTGTTCGGCACCGAGCAACCTTTTGGTGGTCAAATTGGTTTGATTGAGACCCACAAACCATCCTAATCTCCGAAACATATGTACTCAATTCCCAAATTGTCACCCCTTAGCATTTCAATGGAAGTTGAGCAAAAACCCACAAGTCCTGAACCAAGTTTGTCAACACCCACCTCACACTTGTTTTGTTTCAATGCAAAAAACGAAACTTTACAGGGGAAATGCGAAGGGCTAGAAGAGAATTGCAATGTGGGTGCGGTTGGAGTTAGGAAAAGTTGGGGAAAGGGGAATGGAGTGTTGGCGTGGAAAGAACAAGAAGAAAAACATAGGAATAGTATTGGTTTTGGATTAATTAATAATAATTGATGGTTCTGGTTGGCAGTGACAGAGCATAAAGGAGGGCCCCGAAGGTGAAGAGCATCATTTTCGTCAACCCTTTAAGCGCAGGTCATGTTTTTAATCCCAAAAAGGATTAAAAAAGGCAACTTTGAAAATGGCACCAAAGCATGTTGTCGTGTCGGTGCTGACATGCGCCCATTGCTACTTTTCAACTGTGTGGATCGAAATTCACGGGACCTTACTTGCTTACCCTGTTACTGTTTCTGTGATTGCTGCAAAATCCTTTTCTTTCTCCCTCTTTCAATTAATAGTAAGGAAAGGATAAATACAAAACCAGTGATTTGAAAACAAGACCAACAAATTGGTTCTAACGAAAAATCGATGAAATCGGTTGCAAATGATCGTAGAGTCGATATGAACAGAAAAGTAACAGAAAATTAGTCAAAATTGGTATAAAAAAAACCAATAAATATTATAGGGAGTCAACAGAATATCTTAATAGTTTAAATTTTTTAAAATAATTTTAAAATTCCCCTTAAAAAATAATTTTTAAATAAATCAATAATTTTATCATACATATTATTCTTTTTGACAACCGTGTAAAAAAGAATGTATTCAAATTAAATTTCTATAAACGGCCTTTTTTTAAAAAAAAATATTAACATTTGAATATCATTTAATGGTATAAAATTTTTAAAGAGATATAAATTAAAATTGACATTTTAAAGAAAAAGTAAAACGTGATTTCAATAACTTACAAGACTTACAAGTATCGGTATGTTCGGTTTCACGTTTGTCAGACTTAACTCCATAAAAAAAATGTGAAAATAAGAAGTTATAATTTTTTACTTTTACGTCAAATTCGTTAAAACACGAATCGGTTGTGAATCCAGACACGCACCATGTATTATTTATTTAATTTTTGATTTACTGATTCTACTCCCTATAATTCCTCTCTTCATTTCTTATTCTTAATTTTTTTATTTTTGTGTTTTATTTTCAATTTTTGTTATAATCTTTCACTTTTTTTATTAGCTTTTCAAGTATAAATTTTAAAAGTTATGTGTTTTATAAAATACTTCATTCTTTGTGTCTAAGATGCACTAGAATTTTGACGTTCGTATTACACGTGTTAAGTATTTATTACACAATTAAAACTTATAATAAATTATACAAATAAATATTTTACTTAAATATATAAATTATATTTAATATTATATAAAAAAAAATTTATACATATAAATTATATAAAGATAGATTTTAATCGGTAATATGAAAAGTAAGCAATGATTAATTTTATAGTTCTTCATTTTATTAATTATTTTTAACTTTTGTGGTAATTTTTAATTTTTTATGATTGCTTTGTCTTCATTATTTTTCATAAATATATTTTTTCATTTAAAAGTTATATTAGTTTGTAATATTTTTCATTTTATACTTTGTCTTCACGAACACAGGTTGTGAGAGAGGAAAGAGAACTCGAGTCACCTAGATCAAACGGTGCACATTATTTTCACCGTTGGATTAGAGTTTACGTGTCTACTCTTATTTAAATTCCACTTTGAGCTGGGCCTTACAAGGAGACCAAATGCGCTGAGAAAAAAAAAACAAAAAGAAGACATGCACTGCGGTTGGTGGTGATACCCATTTTGGGCTGGAAAATGGTGTGTTGCGTCCAGTTAACGAGTAAATAGAGTTTAACACTCAACAAAGGCTTTTGTTACTTGCACCTCCCAGCTCTTAATTATACACCTCCTTTTTCTTAACTAGTTTACTTAATTACCCTCTTTTGTCCAGCTAATGATTTTTATTTTTCCGTACTTGAAATTCATGTTGCTTGCTGTGTGTCTAAGGAGAGAGGTATGTAAAATTCACCAATTAATTTTTAAAAAATGAGTTCTAGAAAATACTATCCAAAACAATTTTGGAAAGTAATTTGATTAATCAAAATTTTATTGTTTAAAAACACTAATGACAAATGCATCAAACAATTAATCATTTGTTTAAACATATATACATATTGTTATTAGAGTTTTCTCCTTTTAGTATTTTAACCACAACGATGATCATCAAATAATGACATTATATATTGTGATTAGTGACTTTATTTTAAAAGTTGAGTGGCATTATATCAACTATTTTAGGGGTTTAAACTTCTATATTTGACCTCTCTCATCACACTAAGTTGCTTCAAAAGTGTGCCTTTGAATCTTTGATGTTCACAACTTAAGATACCTGCCATTGTGTACTGTTGTTGTTCTTTTTATTTTTTTCGTTTAATTTTGTTTTCTTCTAAACGTGTTTATTTATTTATTTATTTATTCTAGACCAGAAATGGTTCTTTGCTAAAGTTTCCCCAAATGCTGGGATCTCATTATATGTCTCATGTAATCTTGGTAGAATATGGAGTTCGTTCTGTTTGAACTAGCTATAACGTGAAAATCTGTTAGCCAATAAACATTTTTATATGACGTAAGATTTTGTATATATATTATAGAGATGATGTTATTTATAAAGACTATAATAAGGTAGGAAACTAATACTCCGAATTAGATGATCATCAAGGATTAGGCATATGGTTAGTACTTAGTACTTGATAGTCACACTCTCAAGGAAGACAATAGGGACAAAAGTTAGAACACTAAACGAGGTAAATGTTGAGAAGGTTTCTTATTAATAGTGATAGTACTTGATATACTAGTCTAATAGTAATGACAATACCTTAATATATATATATATATATATATA